GCAGCAGCAGCAGCAGCAGCAGCGAAAGTGTTGCTCTTCCCGCTCGAAATAGCACCCTCTTCGCCTCCCTCCATCCCATCGTCTCTTTTCTCCACCGCACGCATTCCTCTGCTCCGTTATACCCAGTACAGCCGCCACAAGTGCTCGCAACCAACACCAACTGTGTCGACCGAGGTCACGCCTCGAGCGTGCGTTGAAACGCCACCGCCACCATGTACATCAAGACGCTCACCATCCAGGGCTTCAAGTCGTATCGCGACCAGACCGCCGTAGAGCCCTTTTCGCCGCACCACAATGTCGTCGTCGGTCGCAATGGCTCGGGCAAGTCCAACTTCTTCTCCGCCATCCGCTTTGTGCTGTCGGACGCCTACACGTCCATGTCGCGCGAGGAGCGCCAGTCGCTCCTCCACGACAGCTCCAGCTCCACCTCGGCCACGCTCTCGGCGTTTGTAGAGATCGTATTCGACAACTCGGACAATCGCTTCCCCACCAACGGCACCGAGGTCGTGCTGCGCAGGACCATCGGCCTCAAAAAGGACGAGTACAGCATCGACCGCAAGTCGGCCTCCAAGGCTGACGTCGCCAACCTCCTCGAGTCCGCTGGCTTCTCGCGCAGCAATCCGTACTACATCGTGCCCCAGGGCAGGATCACCCACCTCACCAATGCCAAGGACCACGAACGTCTCGGCTTGCTCAAAGAGGTCGCAGGAACGCGCGTCTACGAACAGCGCCGCGCCGAGTCGATCAAGATCATGGAGGACACCACCGCAAAGCGCTCCAAGATCGACGACCTGCTCGAGTACATCGAAAACCGCCTGCGCGAGCTCGACGACGAAAAGGAGGAGTTGCGCGAGTACTACGAGCGCGACCGCGAGCGCCGATGCATCGAGTACAGCCTCCACCAGCGCGAGCTCACCGAATGCGCAGAGCTGCTCGACAAGCTCGAGGACGAGCGCAGACGCGACCTCGACGCCTCCAACGTGCGCAGGGCCGAGTTCAACGAGCGCGAGAAGCGCCTCGCGCGCCTCGAGGCCGAGCTCGCCGCCACGGGCCAGTCGATCGAGCAGCGCACGCTCGAAAAAACCCAGCTCGAGCTCGAGCGCAGAGACGTCGCAAAGCACCTCGCACAGATCGAGTCGCTCGTCGAGGAGCTCGAGGAGGTGGGCGAGAAGCGCGCCGACCGCCGCACCGCCCTCGACGCCCAACTCGCCCGCATCCGCGCCGACATCCAGTCCAAGCAGGCGCAGCTCGACCAGCTCCAGCCCACACTCGCCGGCGTGCAATCGGACGCAGAGCAGCTACGCGCGGCGCTCCAGGACACCACGGCGCGCGTCTCGGCGCTCTACTCGAAGCAGGGCCGCTCGGCGCAGTTCCGCACGCAGCAGGAGCGCGACGAGTACCTGCGCACACAGATGGCCGAGCTCGACCACTTCCTCCGCTCGCAGCAGACGCGCATCGACGACACCGCCCGCGAGCGCTCCCAGGCCACCGAGCGCCGCACCGCCGCCCTGCGCAAGG